CCCATCGCCTCCATGTTGCCTGGGTCGTTGCCCATCACCTTTTTGTTGCCTGGGTCGTTGCCCATCGCCTCCTTGTTGCCTGGGTCGTTGCCCATCGCCTCCATGTTGCCTGGGTCGTTGCCCATCACCTTTTTGTTGCCTGGGTCGTTGCCCATCACCTTTTTGTTGCCTGGGTCGTTGCCCATCGCCTCCTTGTTGCCTGGGTCGTTGCCCATCGCCTCCATGTTGCCTGGGTCGTTGCCCATCGCCTCCATGTTGCCTGGGTCATTGCCCATCGCCTCCATGTTGCCTAGGTCGTTGCCCATCGCCTCCATGTTGCCTGGGTCGTTGCCCATCGCCTCCATGTCGCCTTGGTCGTCAGACGTCGCCTCTTCATCGCCTCTGTTCGCCATCACCAAGGATCCTGCTTCAGCAACCTCCGCCGTCTGCTCTCGCCTCCTCCTGGGGCTCGCCGTCTGYTCTCGCCTCCTCCTGGGGCTCAACGTCTGCTTCTGCGGGGCTTTGCTGTGAATGGTTCCCTGGTCGGCCCCCAGAATTTTTTTTCTTCTGGGAAGGTTCCCTGGTCGGCCCCCAGAAGTCTTGCCACAGCTGGAGGGGTCTCTCGACCCCCAGGACTTTATGTGTTTTTTGTCTTTGAATCTACAGTATGTTGTCACGTGTTTCCCTGAGTTTTGTCTAGCTCCTCTTGGCGACGTCAGGAGCTGTCGTTAAGGGGAGGGTCCTGTCATGGTCTGAGTTAATTTTGCTTTGTTTATCCTAGTGTTTCAGTGTACCCTTGTGTTCCTCTGTGCAGCTGCCCCGCCTCTGCACACCTGATTGCCCTTGTGTTCCTCCCAGGTGTTTCTAGTTTGCCCTCATTAGTTTACTTGTATATTTGGTGTCCTGTCTTCAGTCTGATCATTGTACTGTGTTGTCAGTCTGTTCGGTCCCTAAGAGTTTTGAAGTCTTAAGTTATGCTACGTGAATGTAAGTGTTTTTGAGCTGCTTGTCAGCCTCTTTTTGTTATTAAATCCTTTTTTTGATTACTTTGAGTGTCTGTGCCCTGGGTTACCTTTTTAAGTCTGGATCGTGTCAAAAAGTTTGTTAATGTCGTTTTTTCAGTGCACTCTTGCAAAAAAATTAGCTCTGCCCATGCTTCCTGTCAGGTTTGTTGTGGAACAAAATTCATTATTTTCTATTTTTTTACTTCAACAATATTTGGACTAAAACCATGTGAAGGACACAAAAAGAGGACAAAATGAATACTGCTCAATAAGTGAAAACTAGGTGACCAGAGAAAAAATGTCAAATGACAAATCTACAAACATTGTAGCACTACAAACTGGTGGTATATTGATACTTTCTTAGGAAATGTTCATTCCTTTCAGACACAAACTGAAGTTGGTGCTGACCTTCAGGCAGAGCTCTTGCTGGGGCAGGTTATAATACGCTGCAGGCCAGTATTCAGGAGAGTTCAGCTTGAAGTCTGTCTCTGACACTGAACGCAGCAGCGCCTGGAGCTCCGTCAGATACTCCTGGTTACACACACACACACACACACACACACACACACACACACAC